TAATTTCTAATAAATATGGGTAGGTAAACCTAATACTGTACGATTGATTGTTTTTCCACGATAGAAAAGATCGATTAATTGGAAAAAAAAAAACTATGAATCGTTTAATCAAGAATCGTTGTCTCGATTGATACTATGCTACTACCTACAAGTTAAAATGGTTATGAATAAACAACGGAGAACGGACAGAAAAACGGACATTTTAGTAACTTTGGCACGTGAAAGTGATAAACAGTTGTATTGTGCGTCGTGCCCATAAATAAAGTAATGGATAAGACATTATCTATTGAGGTCATTATAATTTTGCGGTCCAACATGATGGGGAATTGAGGCTGTTTGTTTATACTATTCTATATGATAACCACTGCGACATAGTAATTCATCTATACGGAGTATACGGCCTAAATTTCATTACTACGTCTTCACTGATAAACCGTAATGTCCTATCCAATATTATATTATCTATGGTTGTGCCAATTGCTATTAATAATGACAGTATCGATTATTTAATATTTCATATTATACCTGTGCGCTATACCGATAATGAGAGTTATTAATATGACCATTGTTTTGCATATCTAAATATAGACAATTAATGTTCGATTAGTTCATTATTTCAAAATCCCGATTACAATCAAGTTAATCAATCGATCGAAGTTTGGTTCAATATGTTCGAAATAATCGAATAGCCTTAGGTATACACTCAACCTATATTTGTGTATAGTGTGGGAGTGATTATTATAAAATTATTTTACGACAGAAACACGATAGTTTTTTGTTTTTACCTCGTCGATAAATATACGATTTTGCAGTGTACAAAATAAGCTATATATATTAGCAAAAAAAAAAAAAAATTACCTACTCATATGTATGCCGCCGTCCTTACGTACGATTTCCGTACGGGTAACATAAAAATATAAGTACGGCCTACATTTATAAATCGCTATAAAATATTACGGAAAGTATATGTGTGTTTTTTCCTTACAGCACTTACGGAAATCCTCGTACTATCTATACAAAATAGGGCACCATAATATTAAACTATAATAATATAAAGTGTATACTTGTAAAAGGTATAAACCCAACTATTATTATTATTTTTTTTTTGTAAGAATTTCGAGAAAAAAAATGTTACATTCGGCTGATAAATTATCGCGGTAATAAAGAGCATTAACGTAATAATATAATGGAGACGTAGAATTATGTGCGTGCGATGTGTGTGTGTGTGTAATCGGTAAGACCGATTCTTAAAAAAAAAAAATCAGTACAGTACAGTACAGTGGCCAAAGATGAGGGGAAACCGTATAAGAGATTGCGGATTGGAAAGCTATAAAAATGAGACGGTCCGGAAGATAAGATACGAGGAGGTATGTACGTAACCCGACAATAAACCCACCCTATAGAAGTCCCCTAACCATCGTTGTAAACGCTTTATGTAGTTTAAAAAGTACCGACGATCCCTCCATACCATCTATAAAAGGTACCGTATACAGTGTGACGGTGTGTAGCATATATTTATTATTACTATTTTTTTCCCTCCTTATTCCAGGATCGTATTTGTTTTATTTTTGACGTAAACAGCTTATAATATGTGACGACACAAATATTAGCACGTACACGTTTTTAATACCGCAAAGATATTAAAATATTAGGTATGGACGGACCGCGAAGGGATTTTTAACAAAATAAATATTATTATATCGTAGTAATATTGTATATTGTTATTGAATAAAAAAGAAATCACAATCTTAAAGACACTTAAAAAATGTGATTACATTTTTATTCTGATAACGTTGTTCGTTTAAGTTATACAATTCTTGTGCATGTTATAATATAAGCGGGGCTTGGTGAATTTATATGAACAATATTAACTCAATATTAACAATATTAACAATTATGTTAAGTCGATTAAAGTTGACCAGTTAAAACGTCAAAAGTTAATTGCTGTGTTAATTAACCAAGTTAAGTTAAAAGTTAATTTGAAAATGAAATTAACTTTTCAACACGAGTTAAACTTACAGTTTGTCTTTTTGTTTTAAATATAAGGACGATCAATGTGTCAATGATCAATGATCACGTGGAGATTATTCCGTGGATACCGAGGTATGCTTAAGGCGGAGTTACCACCAATAACGAGTTTTCCTGCTATGACCACTCATTTTGACTTTATTCGCAAATAGTGTAATTTTGTAATTTGATAAACAATTTGGTTATTATTGTACTTGTCCACATTAATTAATTAACTGGCTGATAATATCAATAATTACGGAGTATTCTTATAGTCATATTCATTTTCTCTCGTAACCCAGAAATCAACCAGAGTTATACAAAACAATTGTTAGTTTTCCCGTTAATGAAGAAAACTACAAGGAAAAACAAAATTACTCCCTCAATGCACCAATTAGATCAAAAATGCTACAAGAAAGTTCCTATAAAGTTTTTGATTGGATCGAGATTTATGGCAGGAAAATTGTTTACGCGGACATAAACAATACGAAGCATAAACGCATCATGGTATAAAACCAATACATTCGTCGCTTCGCCCGGAATTCAAAACACACTTGTATGCACACAACGGTACACAATATACAATATTATACACACGTCTTATGCTACTATGAAAGATTATTTAAAAGCAAATTACCGATTATGCATTGCCAACGAATCAGCATCGACCAGTATAAGCGTACCGCATTGCAAATCATTTCTATACGGACATCTGTTATACACATATATTTATATACGTATATAACCCCATTACAAACACCATCCTTTTAAATGATTAAGCCGCGTTTATAATACAAGAGGGGTTCTAAAATATATCCCTTTAGTATACGCATTAAAGAGCGACTTCATTTGATGTGATTTTAACAGAGCCCTACAAGAATAATTATCCCTTCGTCCACGAAATGTATGAACAAATCGAATTATTCGGTTCGTGGTTTATCAGCAATTACATTAATTGTTAACGATTAGAGTACAAGTGCACAACGATTATCAATTAAACAATAATAGGTGTTGTTAACCAACGTGGATAAATAGAATATACGGTGATTGTGTTCAGGAAAAAAAAAAAAAATTTTTTTTTTAAATTTAAAATTGTAGCCGATTTTGGAATGGCCGTTTATTTTTATGTATGCCACACGATTTGAAATATTTATTATATTTACATATAATTAAAATTCGTGTCACATAATATGTTCACACAAATATAAATATTTTCACAGATTTGTTTCATGACATAAAAAATAAAACGATCAGGTGCGTTAAGTTAAAACTATTACATTGATTCGTAATTTTACCATTTTACATTTTATAGGTTTAAAAAATTTAAATAGAAATCTAATAAAGGTAGTTATTTCATTTAAAACAATGTCCCGGTTAGGTTTTTGACAACTCGGCGTATAATGTTTATGGTTTCGATTCGAAATCACTTTTATCTAGTAACATTTAAAAATAAATCTGTAAAACGTTAAAATAGCTATGTAGTGTAGTGCGATAGACGATGATATTATATAATGCATGGTCTCGTTATGCAGCACTGTGAATTATGTTTTACAAGCGCGAGGTTATAGATCCGTTTCCGTCCCCTTCGGGGCTGAACAGATGTTATCGTTATTGTTATTCGGTTTCGGGGTATACCTACACGAGCATTATAATAGTCAACGGGCGCTTTAAGTAAATCCGTAATGTGCACCGCGTTTACACAGGACTGGTGTATCAAAATAGGTTATGCAAATTTCGTGAATTTTGTGTAGTTCTGCAGGTGATACGTATTATACGAACCTGTTAAGTTTTAACGATTTCCTAAACAATAATGATAATAATATTGTCCGTTTTGCAGCGTATAGCCGCTTTCATTCATTAAATACCTATACCCGCGTTAATTTTATCTATCGGTCGGCATAAGTACATACCAATCTACCTGCAACGCTGTTGATGCCATAATATTTTACAACTGTACGCCGTGTCGACACACATAAAATTAATAATAATTACTCTAAATTGTCTAATTATTTTTACAGATACCTACTCGATTTAGTTTCAATACATTTGTCCTAATGTTTGCTTTTATACATTCATTGTTGATCATCGATAATATTATTATGTTTTTAAAACGTATTTTCGGTCGATTTATTCAAAGTATATAATATGCATATCGGATACCTATAATGCATATAACATGATGGTTAATTGTTTATCGTTTACCGTCGAGATATTTAATAAATTATTTATTGTTTACTTAATAATTTAAAACGTTTTTCTATTAAATGAATACACAATAGTTGTTAAACGATATTGTTCCAGGGACGGGGTTTTCGATGATTGAGACGAACGAAATGAGATGAGATGAGATGAAACCGTGTATTTCTTAGGTATTCTAGATAAGTGATACCAACGAATGAAATGTGTAAAAGGGAGTTATGAAATACGGTATGAAATGATTAGTATAGGTAGTGGCGGTTTTATGGAGGGGGGAGGGTCCAGGGGGTTCGGACCCCACCAGACTCCGAGTTTAGACTACGAAAAGTATATTTTGTGTTATAATTTTTAAATTAAACTTATACTTTATTGTTGATTGAAACATAAGTACATTTATGTAAATAAGTAAAAAAAATAATATGTAAGATAATCAAAATAAATTGATAAATATTGGGTAAATATGTTTTGTATGTTAAATATATTGTAAGTCAAGTCCGTATCCAGAAATGATTTTCGGGGGGGGGTCCAAAATATTTTTATTGTAATTTTACTTGTAATCTTCTTTTAATAAAATATATAATTAAATAAATAAAATTATTCACACATCTTGTCACCTTACATTATACAAAACATAAAAACAAAATGAAGTGATAACATACACAAATTCAATATACTTTAAACTAATAAAATGCTTCTATCTTTTTTGAAGAGCATAGTGGTTTAACACTTCTTCGGGATTAACCGTAACATTTCTATGGGCACTTAATATAGCTAGGTCAGTTAGTCTTTCTTGTCCTCTAGTTTCGTAAAAATGTCTTGACGCGTTTTAATGCCGAAAAAGTTTGTTCGGCAGTTGCTATAGAAATCGGCACTTTTAATAAAAAATGAATATTTGGAAAAAGTTCAGGGTCACAATAATTTAATGATTCTACAGCTGAATTTGGACGATCTGTATCTTTAAATGCAATCCATTTTTTTTTCCACAATTTTATTTCTGAAGGTAATGAATCAACATTTATAAAATTTGAATATAAACTGAAATTTGGTTCTAAAATTGCAGATTTCACATACATTTTTAGTGTTAATCAATACAAAGACGATACAATTTTCTTGTGTTTGGAAAATCGTTATTTAAGTTGACTAATAAAATCAGAGTTGTTGAGAAAAGTGTTGTCGCAGTTATCATACTTAAAATAAATCCACTAGTTGTAACACACTTATACAACTATAAAGCTTTAGATGATATTTCAATGTTTACAAATAATTGTAGTTCTTCTGATGTTGCAACAATAGGTTTATGTATTTCTGAAAATCTTAACATACCATCGTAATTTTCAACCCACCTAGTCTCACACATTATACACATTACATAAATTCTTTTATTTTATTTTTTAATAGTTCAGTTCGTTTAGCCGATATTTTAATACAATTTCCTACAGATTTTATTATTCCTATACAATTACGAATATGGTGAATATTTGACGAATGAGCAGGTGCTAAGTTTAATGAATGTGCGCTACAGTGGACATAAAGTGCAGCGGGATGTATTTTTCTAATAACAGACTGTACTCCTTTAAAATTACCACTCATAGCCGCTGCGCCATCATAACCTTGGCCAAGTAAATAGTCACAGGTTATACCAAGAATTTTTAAAGTTTCTAGAATGACTGTGGCCAAACTTTGACCATCGGTAGAGCCAACTGGCACAAATTGTAAGAAGTCTTCTTTCAATACATAATTATTTATTTCATTTTTTTTAATATTTAAATTATTATCTAAATAACGTATATACAAATACAGTTGTCACAACACGTCAGTTGTCTCGTCGACTAATACAGAAAAACATTTTGCCTGATTATTTTGTAAACTAACTGGTCTTGTATAATTTGTCCACACATATTTGTAAAACTATTTTGAATCATAGGGCTTATACATGTAGCATTTAATGTTTGATTCTCAATGTGACATGTTAGATTTTTATCTTGATACGAAACGCGCATTCTTAATAATGCTCGGAAATTACCATCATTATAAATAGCTGTATCAGTGTTTTAGGTATATTCAGGTTGAGATTAATATTATTGTATTACCTTTACGATAATGTTCTAAACTGTTCTTAATTATCTTATTGTAGATAATTTTATATTTCTATGTTGTTTTTTTTAATTATGTAGGTGTAGATTACGAAGTGTTATTGCATATTACAATAATATATGCCGACAATATAAAATAATCGGTTGAATTTATATTCTGAAACGAAACACAATATTTTAAAATATACTGTCACTAATGGGGAGAGGGGGGGGAGAAGGAGAAAGTCCAAATGTTAAGGTGGAGGTTTGGCATATCTGCTGGTGGAGCTTTTTTTTTTTTGAAGCGAGTAGGAACTAAAAATCGCCCTGCAGATATAATATTCTACATATCAACACATATCCAAATAGACCGCGATTTGCAAAATATTAATAGTGTATAAAACCGAGTGCAGGTCTTGAATAATGTTGTAACGTGCTCGTTATAATACTTGTATAATACATATTATAAAATCGCGATCGTCGAGAGAATATGATATACTCGTATTATACATACATCATATTCAAATATACGAGATCGCGAACGTTTTCTGAGCGGCGGTGGCGGCGGTCGTGTACCGCGGGTGCAGCGGGTGAAAGTTTATCAGTTGAACATACACAACAATGACTTCCGACTAATGAACTAATCCATTAAAGGGCTCATTTTGTTGTTTTAACGAGTCGCCGGGACGCGCGCGCAAATATTTTCTCTCTCTCTTTCTATGTTACGTACCTACTCGTGTATAGATGTATATATGCGTCTCTCCTGGGAGAACATTATAATAATAATTTGCAAGCCAAACCGCGGTGAAAGGGTTAAAAGGCCGCCGTTATACCGCCGAAGTCCGTCCGTTTATTTCGTCCGCGGGCTGGCGGGCGTGCGTACCCGCGCAATGCCAGTGTTTGTCCGCGCACTTGCAGCGATCCTCCTTGCAGTCTTAAAAAACGGGCGGCTCGGTCGGATAGATTCGCGCAATATTATACAATATGTATGTACAGGGTGATTATTAAATCACGGATAAGCGATTATCCTTATAATTTATGCATGTACAGTATGTCCCACCGTGTTCGATGGATTTTTCTATCGGTGTTAATATTACATTTTTTTTCGATTTTTTTCTTTTGTCACACGGTTTGTCTTTGTGGGGGACATCGATTTGGAGAAAAATTACATTTTTATTTTCATCCTCTAAACACACTAAAAACCAACTTTGTATTAATTCATTTTAGACAATTTCCAGAATAGCCCCATTTTGTAAAAAATATTATTCTTACAATTTTAATTTATCATACATTCATATCCGATAAATATTTTCTTAATTATAATAAATTAAGAGTTATTTTTTTGTGTGTTTAGGGGATGAAAACACAAATTTAATTTTTTTCCAGATCGATGTCCCTCTCGAAGACAAACCGATTAAAAAAAAAAAATTGGATAAAAATTAATATTAACGGCGCTAGAAAAAATCGTTATAAGGTTTTGAGTAAATTCGATTTAGGGGAGGGGTTTACAGTCATAATATAAAAAAAAAAAAAAAAAAATAATAATATAATCTTGTACATCATGTATTTGTTCACAAAAATGTTACTGTTTAGGTCATCCATGCGTCGTGTTAACTTTATAAACAGGGTTATCCGAATTACGCATGTTACAGTCAGATATTGTCCATGAAATATTTATTTTTCGAAAAAAATGACATGTGTTCAATGATGTAACATTGCTCTTATTTGTACGTTTATTTTCGAGAGTGAAATTTCTACCAGCTTTTGGTTGAAAGTTAAAAATTCCACCAATAGATAGAAAGTTTTAGTTTAAATACACGTTAATGTTGGAATTTCCGTCAATCCTTTGACGAGATGTTCCACTTTTAAATTCGAGTAGGGAAGATTAGTATCGTTTGCGTGCGGGGTGGCGTGGCGCGTAGCGTTTGAACAGTGTTCCACAAACGGCATATGTTCAAACTTAAAATTAATATCTCATCAACGCATTTACGGAAATTAAAAATATTAACATCGAATTATATTTAAACAAGTACTATTTCTATAATCTGTTTATGGAACTTTTAATGTAGGTTCTTATTTGTAAATGAAGAATTGGTATAGTGGTTTTAACTCCGAAAAATAAACGTGAAACGTCTGCAGGGAGAGCGGTGGATTACACGATATATAGTTCCAAAGATTATTACATTAGTAATTTTTTGAAAAAATAATTATCTCATGGAGAGTTTCACTGTGACATGGCATTCATATGTAGATTTTTAAACAGCAACGCGCTTTGTTTATTTATAGGAGTGGGAAAGTTCCAATAAATGTATCAATTGTGTGGCGGCACGGCGCGCGGTGTTCTATTAGTGCTCCACTGCTCTCCCACTACCTAAACTTAAAAGTGGAATATCTCGTTAACGAGATTAAGTTTCAATAAAAAAATGTTGACACCGAAACGTATTTAAATTTATACTCGGTCTATTTATGGAATATCTATTATAGGTTTTAATTTGAAAAACCAAAGTTGGTATCGCCACGGGATACTCCTTAAATGTCGTGAAAAATTTAAATATTCGAAAATATCGGTTTTTTACCATACTTAAAAATTCCAAGTATCAGAATTTTAACGTATAAAAAATTTAACCAAAAAAATCGGGCGAATCGCCCTGTGCACATATATATGTATACAAAACAAATTGAAAAATTTAATACGTGATAGTAAAAAAAAAAAATTAAGATTATTATATAAATAAGTGTATATATAATTAATGAAAAACAAAAAAAAAAAAAAAAAAATCAAATTTATACGGAAAATGTTCGTAAAATAATTTATATATTATAGATAATCGTTGCGGTTCGCGATAAAATAAAATCACCCTGTTTGTAGATTACGTATACATATATATATATACACATAAAGTTCCTTGATAGGACCCGTGCCAGTGGCGAGATGGTTACATCAGCGGACCCTCTTTTCATTACTATATACACCCCTTTACTGCCGGTCCCCGCGAAATTGGCCCTTTTCATTTTGTTTATCAGTCCGTGTCACACGCCGGTAAACGGTCACTAAACGGGTCTTTATACATATTATTATTTCATACACGTGTATTGCTCTGGACCTTGTAATAAATATACATGTATATATTATACGGGTAACGGACGCGGACGGTCTACAGAGTATTCTTCTTACGCCATTTAATTTTAAACCGGACGACGATAAAATTAACACGTTTTTTTCCCGACCCATCGTCGCGCGCCGCGGCGGACACAACCCTTTCGCGCCGACTTAACTTTGCGTGCGGCGACCCGACCCGCGGCCGCCGTAGCCGTGTCGTCTCATCGTACACCCACCTACATTATTGTACAACGGTTGAAAACCAAAAAAAAAAAAAAAAATAAAACGAAAACAACTGACGCGCGTAATAGAACAATATTACATATATTAAATTGTAACGAGTACACGGCTATTGTCGCTGAGAGTTTTTTTCGTTCGAGTAGTTGATAACGAAATTCGAAAGTGGGTCGGGTTAGGTTGGGTTCAGTTACACGCTGTAAACGGGACGTAAATACAATACATACCTACGTTTTATGCACGGTAGTTGCTTTTTTTCTTTTTCCCGTCGAAAAATCGACAATATCTTACAATCTTACAAACGTTATTATTATTATTTCATCGTATTTATTCTTCATGATATCTCGCATTCCCGAAATTTCGAATTAAATTTAATAATCTAATACAAATTATTGTGTACAGTTGTCGTAAAGCCCCAACATCTAACCTACATATCCACCTAATTACAGTCCCTTTAATAAGTATACAATATCACAAAACATCTAAATTTTAACCCGTTAAAAAACACTATTATTTTTATTTTGATATTATACAAACGTATAATCAATTTTTATTTTCTCCGATTTGAAGATTTTACTTTTTATGGCGACTGGCGAGAAGAGCAATGAATCGAAGCGAAAAGAAAAAACCTTAATTGTTATAATAGAGTAAATACTTATCTAAC